GTAAAAAATGATATCTTTCCTGTTTTGTCCTGTAAAAATATTGTTATTATACTTTCACATCATATGTTTTTTATTGCTCTCCCTTTTTATCTTCTCTTTTTTTCTATATAGTTCTTCAGTTACAAATATTGGTTATAGTATATTTAATCAAACCAAGCCTATTTGGTGAAAAATACCAAGTTTTTATTATAGTAGCCAAACATTATGTAAATCCTTGGACATATACCAAGTGCAGTGGATTCGTTATTATTCTTGGAATATATATTTTCGCACGAAAACTTTGGAAAAGCAACAAAATCAAATATCCATGAAAATATAATTTTTCCTCAAGCCTTGAAATTGGTATCCACGAAAAATGAATGAATCCACAGCAGGCACCTCCATCATTCTGACCAAAATTTTCATAATAGCATAAATTACTGGTTACTTGGAATTTTTACAAAAATGCTCTTATTCAGGTGTTTCTTGACTCCTCACCTTAAAATCTTTAGATGGATGGCTGTTTAACGTCAAGTGGCATATTAAATGCATATTTAGGACGAGAACATGTTAGTCGATATGAATATGAACCCTGCTTTGTAAAATCTGTGGATTCAAAATAGTGACACTGCACTTCTCAAATGTGCACATAACATCTCAAGTTGTTCAATGTTCTCCTTGTAAGTTGTAGTTTCAATGTCCCAATTGATCAGTTTTTGAATAAGAAATCTTGTTCAACTGATTTGACAGTCAGCTGACATGACTCAATGGAGCAATCTTATAAGTATTTTTTTGCATTCTTGTTTCAAAATTCCATTAGAGAACACCCAGTGGCGGATCCCGGGGAGAGGGGGGTGTTTCCGGGGGTTGGAACCCCCCTTTTTTTTGACGATCAATGCATTTGAATGGGGACATATAGTTGGACCCCCCCCCCAACCCCTTTATCCTGGGTAAGGAACCCCCTTTTATAAATGGCTGGATCCGCCCCTGACACGTATTACACTATTTTAGTAATTAAACCATTTTTTTAAGACGTTCGAGCCACTAGCCTTCTTCAGTTTCTTTCTTATCCTTCTTAACTACATGGTAGACATGCTGTATGGGTTTTGTTCATTGTTGAAGGTCGTATGATGACCTATAGTTGTAGTACTAGTATGGTTGAGAGTTGTCTCATTGGGAATCATCCTCCATCTTATTTTTATGCAACTTTCACAATCATTAAGACGAAAGTAAACACTCTTTGTTCAATTTGTCCTAATCTATACCAATACGCCAGTTCTGGTATACGGTAGTTAGTTGAATCTGTCATGTGACTTCCATCACCACGTAACCAAAATGTAGGCATCGTCACTTCCAACACATATCGAGTTAACGGGTGAAAAAGTTTGATCTTATACTGCACAAATTATTTGGGAAATTAAGATTAAGTACTTATGGAACATATATTATTTCTAGACTACCCTGCATAATGACGATTCTGAAAGTGCTTGAAACTTTAATAGAGCAGGGATACAGGAGCGCCTTCTATCTGGTCAATGACGTCATAAAGGTGTGCGAAATTGACAATTTTTTCCGGTGAAAGACATGATTCCAGAAATAGCCTATAAGTTGTCAGATTTTTGCATACAAAATGGTCTATCAACAATTTTGGTCATATGGTATGGAACGCCACAGCTGTCTTATGTGGAACTCTGATATTACTTTATGTTGTTTTATTATTACTTGATGATATTTTGTCTCTACTTAATATGGTTTTGACATTACGTAATGATGTTTTGATATAACTCAATATGGAATAGTCATTACTTAATGAATTTCGATATTACACGATATGGTTTCGTATTGACTTGATATAGTTTTGTCATTACTCAATATGGTTTTGTCATTACTCGATGTGGTTTCACCATTATTTAATGTGGTTGTGTCATTAGTCAATGTGGTTTTAACATTACTTGATGTGAATGTGACTTAACGTTATGTAGTTGTTTCATTACATGATGTGGTTTTGTTATTTTGTAATGAACATTACGCAATGATGTTTCAAAATTTGACGATTTTACACTACATGATGTGTTTGTTTCATTATTTGATGTGGTCCTGTCATTCTTTGATGTGGTTATCCCATTACTTGATTAGGTAAAATCACGTGACCAATTCGGAAAAACCTGTTCTATTTTTAGATAGATTTCCATGTTGTATGTGCCTTGGATGAGTGTGGCCATCCATCGAATTAGAGTTCAAATTAAAGTTCGGGTTACTGTTTGAGTTAAACTTTGAGTTAGTCTTCGATTTCGAATTCAAGTCATTATTAGAATTAAAGTTTTAGTTAGCATTAAGTTTCGAGTTGGACTTCGAGTTTGAGTCACATTTAACTGAGGTAGTAAGAGTTCTAGTTACAACATTAAATTTGAGTCACTTTTTGAGGTAGAGTTTGAGTAAGATTCGAATTTAAGTCTCATTTAGATTAATTAAGATTTTGAGTTGAAATTCGAGCTATCTTATATGAGTTCGTAATTAAATTTTCTATCGCGGAACAAGGACTTTTGCTCGGGCTTCCGAAAATAGGGCTCAGGGGTATGCGTACAAAAGATAAACAATGTTACAGTATACAAAACGCAACATTGAAGTTGAAATAAAGTTAGATGTGGTGTGATTGACAATGAGACAACTATCCATCAGAGTTTAAATGCAGTGGATGTAAGAAATCATATATAGGCAACCGTACAGCCTTCAACACACCGTTTAGTCAGCTACAAAAGGCCACCATGCAACATGTGAAAAAATTCAAACGAAAAAACAAACGGTCTTATTTATAAATAAACAATCTACAAAAAAAAATGACACACATTTATACGACAACAATTGAACTTCATGCTCCTGACTTGGGGCAGGTACATAAAGAAAGTGCACGTGGCGGAGTTTAACATGTATGTGAGCGCTAAATCCTAACCTTACATCGGACTGTTACAGTTGTGTAACAGCACAACACGGGAAAAAAATGTAAACTAGACAAAGTGATGCCCCCGCACTCAACTCATTTAACCGCTTATACCCCAAAAATGACAAAAAAAAATTCAATTATCTCCCAAAAGAGCAAAAGATAATAAAAATAAAAACCCTGAACACATGCACACCTTCAATATATGTACAAACAGACAGTAAAGAGAAAACTTCCTAGGACTCAAACTGTAGGAAGAGTTATGCGGAATAACTATATACCCATAATGGGACAGACAGACGGACGGACGGACAGGGGTAAAACAATATGCCCCCCCCCCCCCAACTTTCAGTTGCGGTGGCATACAAAACAGTTTCATTTGGCTTTTTCAATAGATCGGTATGACTGGGTAATATAAATCCATCAGGGTGATCTCGGATGCTCCAGAAAGGCACCCGTCGTGTTATTCGAGAAAGTACAAACCCAGTGATTTGGTTTTATTTGGTAGTTTACATTCAAGGAAAAGATGACGGTTTTATGGTTACGACCACTGGAACATGTCCGTCGTCACATATGAAACAGATATTCCAAAAAGTTTATTTTTCAATTAGTGCGAGGTAGATTAGGGAATTCAATTGATTACAAATAAAAGATTGATATTCGTATAAGTTCAAATGATCATTTACGCTAAAAAAAATCGGAGAATTCTTATTTTATAGTATTGATGCTTTGTCGCTTAGTCCGAGCCCCCCTCCCCCCGTTTCCCTGTAACTTTAGTGTGAGTTGATTTGAAGTGTTTCATTTGTTAACAATAAAGTTCAAGTCTTTTGATTTGTGTCGAGCCTGCGACATCAATGTAGCGGCAGTGAGACACAACAAACCTATATTTCGTCGTCGATAGTGGCGTCGGCGTTTCCATCTCCATTTTTTTATTTCTATTGAGTTTAACCTTTCATTATACATGTTACTAAACTTGTATGCCATGTATATTACTTTTAGAATATCATACTCGATTTGTTTACCTCGACTATTGTATCTGTATTTATATTGTATGTTTCTCTGTAAACTTGTATTTAGTTTTTAGAGAATAAAGTATCTATCTATCTATCTATCTATAGATCGTTAGGTTTCTAGTTTTTTACATTTTTCATTTCAGGATCTTTTATAGCTTACTATAGGGTATGGGTTTTACTCATTGTTGAAAACCATACAGTTTTGTTTGAGTTAAATAAAACCGAATTAAACTGTTTTGACATGATAAATTTGTAAACCTCCATGAAGTGTTTTAAAACTTGTATAGGAGTTATTCCTCAATTTCAAGAAAAAGCATCTACAGAAAAACTGAACAACTACTCGAACTTTAATTTGAACTTTAACTCAATGGATAGCGATACCCATCCAAAGCACATTAAACAAACGATATATTGAAATCTGTTTAAAAATAGAACATATTTTTTTCCGAATTGGTCACGTGGTTTTACCTCATCAAGTAATGGGATAACCACATCAAAGAATGACAGGACCACATCAAATAATGAAACAAACACTTCATGTAGTGTAAAATCGTCAAATTTTGAAACATCATTGCGTCATGTTAAAACCATATAAAGAAAAGGCAAATCATCATTACGAAATAACAAAACCACATCATGTAATGAAACAACTACATAACGTTAAGTCACATTCACATCAGGTAATGTTAAAACCACATTGACTAATGACACAACCACATTAAATAATGGTGAAACCACATCGAGTAATGACAAAACCATATTGAGTAATGACAAAACTATATCAAGTCAATACGAAACCATATCGTGTAATATCGAAATATCATTAAGTAATGACTATTCCATATTGAGTTATATCAAAACATCATTATGTAATGTCAAAACCATATTAAGTAAAGACAAAATATCATCAAGTAATAATAAAACAACATAAAGTAATATCAGAGTTCCACATAAGACAGCTGTGGCGTTCCATAATATGGCTTTGTTATTATTCATTGTATTGTCTGACAAAATACCAGACTATTAAAATTACAATATATTAAAGATGGCCGATTATACAAAAGCACATAGTATTTGAACATGATTTATTTCTTGTATCCCCAATTGGCACAAGTATTCTCAAAACAAAAGAAAATAAGTAACAAAATGTAATTTATGATATTGCATATATACTTAAAAACATTTATAACAATCTCATTCAAACAAAATAACAACCAAACATTTGTCACTAACATCAACAAAAATTTACAAGTTACAAAAAGCATTATACACAGCAAATACACTTACTCACAATATTATTGTTTTACTTCATTCGTTCTAATTTGCATTCAAAATTTTTTGTTCTCTTCATCTCTTTTCCAAGGATATATCCCCACAATTCCTGTTTCAAAACCCCTGAATCCATCCCTCTCCCCATAAAATCCCACCACAGCTTTTCAATACCACTAGTCACTCCAATAAATAAATTTAGGGAGACTGGTGGATAATTAACAGTGACATTTGCAGCTTCTTTCTACCAATAACTGTTTGCCTATATATCTCAATAAAAATCTCTTGCCCTTTTTGCCAATTTACCTTACATCTATTGTCTTTGAATAAAAGGTTCTCTTCCCTTTTCCAATCATAAAGGGATCACTTTTTTTCAGCAACCACCAAATGTATACAAATGGGTTTCCTTTATTTTAGCCCAAACATGTCCCATCAACACAATCTGCTTTCCCAATTGAATCAAAATTTTAAGTAGATTAAGAAATATAAGAAAATCTTCTGCATTACACGTGATAAATATTTAAAATACATTATCATCCCAATTTAACCTAAAAAATATTTTTTATCTTAAACATGAGAGAATTTTCCATACCAAGAACCATTCCCACTTCCATCACTAAGGAAATTTGAAGCATCAGGTACTAATTGAAATAACTGTCAAGAGGAACTTCTCTGACTGAATATTTCACTGAGATTAATTTCTGATTTCCTTAATACTCTAATGGAACTGTAGTTATTGATAAGCAGCTGTCAATTTATCTGTACCAATATGTACCAGTACTAGATTTTAACAGTAAGTTTTATTGGTCAAAGACTGCTAATTTTCAGTAAACATTTGAAGTCTGAAATTAGAGAGAAAATTTAAATGTACAGAAATAGGATTTTTAGTACTTTAATATATTAGAATTTCAAAGAAAGCAATAAATCACATTAAATGCAATCATTAGTGATGATTTTAAACATTCCCAAGTCCATATTTAACATTATTTCCCCACTATAGTTGATTGTTGATTAATTTACTGATATATGAATCACCATAGTTTAACATCTGTCTACAAAAACACTATCCTATTTTGCTAATCTTGATTGTAAATTGACATGTAATTTTGTGAAAACTAATATTAAAATTGTACAATAATGATATAACAACACATCTGATGACTGGGTGAATGGAGTCCTATAGTGAGGTATTGATTATATGATTCAACATACATGCAATATGTTCACACTCCTCAAGCACATATAAGCACGAGGAATTGTCAATTATGAAATAACATACATGCATAATGATACAAAGCTGTCCATGTATATCACAATCTTTATATATATAAGGCTGGTTAATAAAACCTATCACATATTCATTACAGTTATATACAAGTTACATATAGATTACATTCATGATTTTGAGTTAGAGCTTAAATGAAAAACTTTTATTCTTTGTGGATATATATCTAGGCCCTAAAAGCTTAAAAATCTTAACTCTTTATATACACAAGGTACTTCATGAACTTTATAAGAAATCAAAGTACTAAATTAATAATGTATAAAGAAAAACATGGATTCTTATCTAAATTTCAATACTGCAATGTTGTTACGTGAATAGGTAATAAGTCTTAAAGATAATGAAAAAGACGGGTCCCAGATTAATACTGTTCACATATCATCTAAACTTCAAAAGTCAAAAACGAAACAGAGAACTGTATAACTAGCCTTCAAATTGATATTTAGAACTAGTTTTTTGCCAACAATGATTGAAAAAAAAATTTTCATAGTTTTTTTTCCACACAGGCTTGCCACCTAAATATTTTTCTATTTCATGTTTTTGGCCATTTTTTCTGTTTTAAATTATATAAAAGTTATTGATAAAAAAATCCCTAATCATGTGCACTCTGCATCCTCCTTTTTGAAACTACTCTGCCAATAAAAATTCAGGGAAAAAGCATTGCTTACACAGGCTTTTCATATTTTATCATGTTTATGTCTTAGAAAGGCTTATCTTGGCTTACAGTGAACATATCACAGCATTTCTAAGTTTATTTGCATAAAGCATTATACAACATTGAAAAATACATAAAGTGTAAAAGAGAAGGTACATTTTGGGATTTACAAAGCCCTGTAAATTTACTGAAGAAGAAAAAAATAAGCTTCCTGATTAAATATGTAGGGCGAGGATTCTGTATAATTTATCTGAATGTCTGCTTCCAATGGATAAGATTTAAACAATTTTGTCATATTACTACACTTTTACTTCATGGCTGTAAAACCTTTTTAGTGGAAATATATTTAACAAAAAAAGTACTCAGTTCTAATGAAGTTTTGAAGTGTTTTTGTATTAAGGGCCGGTTTGGTTCTAAATTGTACATTCTCCTTTAACTGGCTTGAGCAAAACAAAAGAAACCCTGAATGTAATAATTAAAAGCATGCTTCGTTTACATAAATCAATAATTCTCTGTCATTGTCCTCTGGTTGAGTGGGATGTCTTCTCATCAACAGATTGATTACAGCAGAAGATAAACTTAACCTAATCAAACTCTTCTGCCATCCTAATATAGAACTGAATAAATACTGTTGTTATCAAACCATTGTCTTATATGGATTGATGCAACGATGTAGCTTCATATAACCTCGGGCATAGAGGACTTCCTGCTTTTTAAGAACAGTTATAGAGCAATAAAGGATTTTTTTTGGCAAAACCAACTTTAATTAAGCATAACTATAAAAACTAGACAAGTGTTCTAAAAACATTCCAGCAGATTTTTCCTCATCCAAACAGTTATAAATTAACATTAAGTCATAAAATCCTTATCAAACTGTTTTATAACATTAACAAAACTAACTAAATGCAAAATATTGGCAAAAAGATAAACTCAACCAATTTACTGTTTCATATAACTACTGAACTGTATAAATTTAATGTTCTCCAAAGACACTTATGCAATGCTCCCCGTTCTGCCATAAAACCATTTGGAAGCAATTTAAATAAATAAAGTCAGATATTCATAATTTCAGTGCTAAAATTCATTATCACTCTAACAAATTAGAAGAATACGGAAATCCCAAAGGTTTGATAGAATTAACCTAGTTTGCTATTCTCCCAGATCCACGTAGAAATAACAGACATCTAGACACTAATCACATTACATTGATTTTTACGTTTAACAGTCAGAAAAATTGTATAATATCCATTCACAGTAGAAAATTATATCACACGCTTCATTCTAACACCATTGAGAGAACACCTTTTGATATTAATATTGAATAAAACATTATAGAGATGATAAAGTAGCATTCTGTTTGTCCCCAATAACCTCAACATAATTTACAAACCAGGGAGACACCTTCATTTACTTATCTAATTCAATTTCTGGACAAAGAGCCATTAAGTTAATGTTACCATTCCTACTAATTAATTTTCAATTTGGACAATAAAGATGTCATTTAATTTAAGGGAAAACAATTATAATACATTCAGTATGGTCACTGTTAATAATCAGATGGATATGTAATGATTTATAATACAATAAAACTACATGTATGTATGTAAAATCCAGAAATCTTTGATGTTTATTTCAGAGAAGCATGTCTATTGTCTAAGCAACAGTTTAATTAATAAGACTCCATCTCTATTACTCTAGGTATACATTTTAAATGACCCATTACTAAAGAACCTTTCATCATAACATACTTAGTCTAACATTTTATAGAATATATGGACAATTGGAATAATTATATGATATTAGATTGGAAAAACCACAAATATCAATAATTACCATCAGAAAAAGCAAACAGACCAATATAAATGTTATAAGATCAAACTTTATGGCAGTAAATATGATCAAATGATTACAGCATACAGACGATGGTCTGAGGTCTGATTGATTAAGTCAGTGCCATTAGAAAAATGTGCTTAAAACACCAATACTATAGTGGATGAATGTTTTTAATAAAACTAATGTTGATTAAAATAACTGATATGGTAAAACGGAAATATTCATACTTGGTTCCAGACATTTCTAATATATTTGTTGACTATGAAAAATTATATAATGTTATCACTTATTCACTTATTCTGAACTGTTTCCAACTAAGAAAAATCATGAATCTAATGCATATTATTAAGAACTCTATCATGATTTTGATAAAGATGACAGCAAGAGTGAAAACTAGGCATTAAGTGTACATTCACAAAATTCCAAAAGAATTTCATAAAAAGAAGAAAAGACTTATAAAAAATGATGTTTATGTAATTTTGTATGTTTAAAATGACTTTTAAAATAAAAAGGTTCTAAAGTAAAAAACACTTATAAAATGTAGGATGTACATACAAAATGACTTCTCATGAATTTTAGCTGAACTATTGCTTGTAATTTGTGATGAATTAATAATTATATGTCAGACAGGACTGTCAGTTTCTAGGGACATTGTGTTAGTATACATACACTAAGTGTACAATGATTCCACATTTTGTTAGTATACATACACGAAGTGTACAATGATTCCACATTGTGTTAGTATACATACACTAGTTAGTGTACAATCATTCCACATTGTGTTAGTATACATACACCAAGTTTACAATGATTCCACATTGTGTCAGTATACATACACGAAGTGTACAATGATTCCACATAGTGTTAGTATACAAACGCTGAGTGTACAATGATTCCATAATAGAATAACACTGTCAAATGGTACTACAAACAAAGCTACTTATATACACTTAGAAAAAAACTTTGACATGACAATCTCATTTGATTAATTTACATACTAGCACCTCACATATATATCACAAATGTTAAACCAACACAACTATACAATGTACATGGTATATTTGATTGCAAAAAATGTAAACCAAATCTTGAAAAATTGATACATATTACATCTACTTTTATAAGCTTTTAATAAGGAATACTTTTTTAAGGAACAAAGGAAAATTATTTAAAGTTATGTTATCATTTCATCTTTAAAAATTCATTACCATACATTTTTTGTCAGATTAATCGGCAAAATCAGTGAACTTGTAGATACACATCTTAAATACCTTCCACTGCCAATTTAGTTATGCTTGGTCAGGTCATGATACAAAAACCTCAACTATTTCAAATAAAACAAAAAAGTGTATATTGTAAAAAAAATTATAAACCAGCAAGACAATTTAGAAAATATAGTAACTGCAATGCACAAAATTAATAATATCACCTGTATCACACTTAAAGCAAAAGCTTTCAAAAGATAGTCAAAAGTGAACAACTGGAAAATAATTCTTTGCATACAAAGCTGTATCATTAACATGACAAGCATACAAAGCTGTATCATTACAATGACATGCATACAAAAGACTTTAAAATCACATTCACAATGCATAGTTAAATGGTTAAAACAAAAGGTCACAGAAAATCACAATCATGAATGTCAAACAACCAATAAAATCATTTCACTCTAATCTGGATCATGTTGTTAAAAATGTTTAAATGTTTAATTTTTTTAATCATTGCAGCTAAAATCATCATAGAGTGAAACAAAAGAGATTCCTAACAAAATTATAACACTTGTGTATTCATTACCTTTCTGTATACTTATTGAACTGTTCCTTCATATCTTCTAATTGTATCTCTACATTTAAGAGATTTTAGTGTTTATTAAGTACATTCTTCATGCAACATGTTAAAGTACAACAACAGCAAAAAATATCCTTTTTGGAGATAAAATTTGTTTATAAATTTTGTTTAACATATAACATAACAAATTTGACTTGTATTTAAGGGAAAAATCTTGGTGTAGCAAGGTAGCACTAGTTCAATAATATTTTTTGGCAACACATGGAAGTATTTTTATAACAAAATAATGATAAACAAAAAATGCACATTCAGTGTAAGATGATAAGAACAAATTTCAATTACACCCAATACTGATTATCACGTAAAACAGGATTTGTGGTTCTACAGTGCTGCAGAATTTCAGGATCCATTAAAGATGACCATTCAAAGAGTTCAGTACTTGTATCTGATTTAACACTGTATCCAGACATTCTACTTGCACTTTCATTGTCGTCTGCTAATAACGTCACTTTACATTGTGGCACTTTTGAACCAACTTCTGATTTTCCATCAGCATGTGTTATGAGTCTATACTCATCATTTCTGCCTCTCAGTGGCGGTAAGTTATAGTAATTTTGATGATCATCAAAAAAGGATGCCTCATCATCGGAACATGGAGTCACTTCCTGTTTAGGTTCAATATGAACATGAGGTTGGTCTAATGTCAGAGGGCCAGATATTGACGGCCTAAGTCTTTTTTCATTAGAAGGTGGGACATATTCTTGGTGGTGACGTCTTCTCCAAATGAAATAAATCACTAACAAAACTATAATGAGTAAAATGAACAATGGAATAAGAATAGCTAAAACAATCACAAAATCACTTCTGACATCAGGTTCTATCACCTCTCGTCCTTTTGGATTTACATCTGTACTATTACCATCTGGAGGTGCTAGTTTTATACTAAATCTACCGGCAGCAGGTTGTACACTGTCAGCTGACAGCATGTACCCAAAGCTATCCCACAATCCTTCCTGGTATGGAATGTTATCAACGGAATAAAACACGTTACCGTGTACGATATCATCATGAGAGAAATATGCAATGTCATCATAATGAGTTTCCGAATCAGTATTTCGTTTCACCCTTTTTGGACCTAATATTCTGCCATGTTTTGGCTTCTCAATGATTTTGAATTGAGGCATATGTCCAGTAATGTTAGCAAGCTTCCCTGCATCTAAATACTTAGTAGTTATTGCCACTTTCTCACCTATTCTGGCTGTAAATGGGTTTGTAACAATCAGTGGTTCTACACCTATATTAATCTGTCTATTATGTATGACAGCTGTAGGGACTATTCCAGGATAAAACACATCCACAATAAAGTAATCCACATAAGAACTCAGATCATGTTGTTTATAGTATATATTCTCCTCATCTATGTCGGTCTGTTTAAAAGACAAGACCACCGACTTGCCAGAATAAATAGCTCCATAACGAGGTGGGGTAGTGATATTATAGTACACATTATTCTTGAGACCATTAGTTTTAACAGCTACGTTCTGACTTGTTATATCTACAATGTTATCTGACTGCATTAGCTGTATATGTTGTTCATTTATAAGTTCTATAGACACTGGAATGACAGTAATGTAACACGACCTGCTGATGGCGGGGAAAGTTCCATCAGATACACGGAAATGAAAAGTTGTTGATGGATTTTTACCATCATGTTGGAACTGTAATTTCCCATCATCTATATCCTTTTGAGAAAATCTATTTATCAGCTGACGAGGATTATCCTTGAAAGCTATAATTCCATTTTTTGGTAAAATTGTAAGTTCATAAATAATTTGATCAGAGGGAGTATCTAAATCTTCAGTTTTTAAGTCATTACTTGTAATATCAACCTTGAGCCCTTGAACAACATATAAACGTGGATTGGTTGTTACAAGTTGGAATAATTCATCATTTACAGGTGTAACTTTGACAGTAAAATTTAATGATGCACTGTTTGGAAGTTTACCACCATCCAAAAGTTCTAACTTCACCATAAAATTATCCTCAATGGTTTCTGAATCGTCATGTTTGTATTTAACTTGCCGCCTATTGATATTATCCTGTGTAAAAGACTGGCCAAGCATCAATTCATTTCCATGCAACAAGATATTGCCATGCTTTGGTATAGCAGCCAATATAAATGAAACATCAACACGGTGTCTATCTACAGTATGCAATCTCTGAATGTAATCAGTCACATCAACATGATCTCTGGTAAGAGTTACTTCCCCTCCTTCTTTAACGGATAATTTTCCTTTTTCATTAAAACTGGCTCCACCTCTACTATCTATGTTAGTGTATGAAATATCTATCTGAAACCTTTGATTTTGGACTGGTGAGGCATATAATGATGAAACTTCAAAAGTAAACACATCTGTTTCATCCCATTCAGTATCAAATGATGTGTGTTCATAAAAGATAAGTCCATTTTCTATGTCATCTTGCTTGAATGACTGTAGTTCTAGTGGTCGTTGATTATATCGTGTGATGATTCTCCCTTTTTTTGGTTTTGCCATTACATTGTATATGATTGGATGAGTTTGACGAGGATCATTTGTTTTGGCATATAAATGACTGATGGTAATGGCTTGAGTTCTACCAGGATAAACCTTTAGTTGTACATTTCTTACCAATGTGACAAACAATGACTTTGCAGTCACATAAAACTTGTGTAAGCGACCATCACTGTTGACACCATCAGAAACATGGAAGCTGAATTCACCGTTATCTGCCCCTGAAAAAATACAATGTAAAATTAGGGTCAATACAACTTCTAAAGGTGTCCAACACCAATTTAATCATAGAATGCACAAAATTGTAATACTTTGAACACAGAGCAGTTTGAAAATAAACGGAGAATGTGTCATTGGGACACAGATGATGCCCCCACTTGCATATAACATTATAAAGGGACATAACTCAAGAACTGTAAAATTGACACAACCCAAATTCAAAGTGTTTTGTTGTAATAAGCATTGTGTATAAGTTTCATAACATTTGGTTGAGGCAAACTAAATTTAGAGGACAGAAAATAATGTTGGGACGTACAGACAGACAAGGGTAACACTTAATGCCCCCTCCACTGTGGCAAGGGAATAACAATATCTATATTAGCACAAATGTTGCATAAAGTGAAGTGAATATTATGGCCTGATAAGAATTGAAAATAAATAATTAATTTTGCCCAAGACAAGATGCAAATGAATATTCTGCTCTATCAAAATGCAAGAAATAATCTTGTACAAAGTCCAAAATAAATTTATGTGCGGTTATAAATGTTGGTACAACAGGTGAAAATGAATATTCCCTCTGCAAAAACAGAGGAAAATATATGGTTTAGGGGTGAGAAGTCCAATATTTTCAAGATAGTTGAACATTTTCAAATGTCAGGGAGTGGGAATGACCCCTGGGGAATCACCCTATAGTTCATTTGATTGGTCTTGTTACATTATGTAGAAACATTTATTAGAGTCTCCATATCTTTTAGGATGAATTGTTTTAAAAAATAGTGTAAATAAGGTCAAGGTCACAGATGATCATTGAACTTTTGACCTTAAATAAATTATCATTACTGAAAACAACCATCACTCTATCCCATTAATACTGTTCTCAAGTTGTAACCATTTCAGCATGGTTCTATAGTGAACTCCATCCTTATTGGCCCTCAAAGTATCCCTTAATAGCCCCCATGCACAAACAAATCACTAAATGAACAACTGTAAGAACTAACATATTGTAGGACCTGAAGTACATCTGTCTAGCAGTTTCTGAGAACTGTTGTTGACAAGTAAAGCTGTGAGAAACTGGAAGAGGAAGAACCGAGTAAAAACAATAAGTTCAAGACTTAGTTCGAGAGACTTGATTATTAATTGAATTATTGAATTTCAAAAAAAAATACACAAGAAATTGAAAGATTGTACGTGTCAATCCTTGTAGTAAAAAGTAAAGTAACAAAAATACCAAACTCCAAGGAAAATTCAAAACAGAAAGTCCATTATCAAATGGCAAAATTAAAAGCTCCAACACATCAAACAAATGGAAAACAACTGTCATATTCCTGACTTGGTACAGGCATTTCCTTATGTAGAAAAGTAAGTTACTTTTAAGAAATAAACTTGAAATAATTAATAATGTTCATGATCAACGCAGTCTACTTGACTGTTTAGTAAATCACCTTTATGGAATCATGCTTTTAATCTTTAGATCAATGTGATATCAAAGTCCAGAAATATTCTTGGAATACTAATGATAAATATATTTTACAATGAAAGGAGCAACCAAGTTAATCCTAATTTCCTCCCATAGCATGGCCATATGACAGATTGACTAAGTAGAAGCTCCACACAACCCACCCTAAAATGTAAGATACCTCCATACTTGACTAATCTTTTATGTCTAATGGTGTTCCCTAAACCAAACAGACTAACAGGTTCAGTCAGAAACACTATTTAAAATATAGATAAACTCAGGTTTTCTTTATAAAAAATCTTGTATGTTCTATCCTCTAGAGAAAACTATATGCTGTGCAGATATGCATTAAAGGAAATCATTGGAGCTATCAGATTGAGCGCTATGTTTCTGAGTTTAGATTTCCTTCCTTACCTCATCAATCACTGATAAAAAAACTTAAGTCAGTGATAAGTTTTTTTGTTTGTAGTGCTAATTGTAACCATCCTTTATCAGGTATCACTTTAACAATGCTCTTGCATGCCTACTTGCTATTATACTTTTTCTGTAGTAGACAGCTGGGTTACTATTGTGTTGTTTCTTCTATTCATAAAGACAATACCTAGCATGTTACAATCTGTGAGAAATGGCTGTTACATTATCAGATTTATAGAACACCTATTTATGGGTTATCCTATTAAATAATCATCTATCACATCACATCTGTGACATATACCTGGTCATAAGGTTAAATATGGATATCATTATACTAACAAATAATATAAGATTTCACCAGATGTGAAAGTTAACACTATATGAATAAATTTGCTTTCAAGTACTAAATGTGTACCTAATCTATTAAGATTTATTATAGTTTTACCCACAAGTATCTTTGTATATAGAACAGTAAGATAAGGTACAGCTGTAAATTATATATTTTTGGTATAAAAAAATACTGCACTAGAGTACTGCATGTCCATTCTACTATATATACATGATATATATATGTCTCTTTCAATCATGTTCAGCTAGAAGAATAGCAAAGTACTACGAGAATAGCATGCAGTCAATCTACAGTTAAAAAAAAATGTATGATAAAGGTGCTGATTCAACCTTTGAATCCAAAAAATAAAAATGTACATATACATGATGTATGATAAATCTATCAATATTTTAATATACAATTCAAGTACGTATATATATATCAGGCAATGGGTTTTCATTTTTTACTTGTTTCACATTTTGCCTTTTCTAGAATTGAGAATTTTATAGCTTATCATAAGGTATGGGATGCAGGCATTGTTGACAATTTATAGCTTTCAAGAATAGAGGTAAAACACAAATATTGGTAAAAAGAGGGTTGCAGGGGCAATAACTCCTACCAGAAGTATATTCACCATTTCAATTAAATTTACTTTTTCATAGGTGTTGTTTTTGCCATATACAAATGCTGTCCATCTTAAATAGTTTTTTGGTAATTAATCCTAGTTGGCAAAAAAGCAAAAATTGGTATTCATGGGCAATAACGCTTATAAGGAGTCTTCTGACAATTTTGGTAAAAATTGCCGGTAGACAGATTGAGATGTTGACATTGTAATCAATGTTGCCCCTGTCAGATTTTCTCTAACTAATGGTTCAAGATATTAGACAATAACTATGTTCTATTTAGCCATAGCAACCATTATTTTGGTGCAGCAGGCATAATTGACATTTCTAGGTACCCTAGGATGAAGGTTGCCAAGTTTGGTCAAGATTGGCCTTGTGGTTTTAGAAGAGAAGATTTTTTAAGAGTTAAAGCACATGACAGACGATGGCTACAACAATATATTGATTGATTGGTGTTTAAAGCCACTTTCAGCACTATTGTGGTATTTCTTGGCAGTCAGTTTTCATTGGTGGAGGAAGTCAGAGTGCCCAGAGAGAACCACCGACAATACGTGGGAAAACTGACAATCCAAGTCAATCAAGATTAGAGTCGAGCACACCTGCGGGTTTCGTACTGACAACCTCAGTGTTGACAGTCTAGTGATGCAATAGTTCGATAACTTAGACCACTCGGCCACGGAGGCACCTCGACAACTAGTGATGGTAATAGATCACATGGCCATCATAGGCTATGAAAAGGCAAAGTGTACGGATTTTTTTAAGGGAAACAAATAAAATCATTCTAAACAAAAAAAGGTATCTTGCAGAGAGTTGTCTCATTGGCAATCAGGCCACATCTACTTTTTATATATACATGATGCAAATGTAAGCAATGAATAATGATATATCTTGAAGGCTTTACTGAAAGCAATTGGTTTTAAAAAAAAAAGTGTAAGAAATCCCCAAGTCTTTCTGATAAAAATGTAAAAAGCTAACTAATTCAACTGCAAACCTTAACACTTAGGATGAAGTAAATTACTAATGAAGTCAGGTCTAAAAAAAAAAACGATATTTCCAATAAACCACTGTTACCACCTACCCTACAGATTTATTTGTCATTTTTTAACAAGCACTATTCAAATCAATATACAATATATGTACATTGTCGGAAAATATAAAATTTATTTGTATGAGCTTTAGAAATAGGACGAAAAGCGAGGCTCGCCGAGCTTTTCTCCTGTTTCGCAGCGAGTACAAATAAATTTTATATTTTCCGACAATGTACATATATTGTTTTTATCCTGAAATTTACACCCAACACTTGAAACTTTAGTTGTTAAAATCTAAATCATTGTCTCTAATTTTTCAAAGAAATCGACATAGTTTAAACGCAGACCGCGAAAAGGACCCCAAAATGAACTGGTACGCAAAAAGAAACATCCACATTACCGCTTGCTCAACATGGAAGCGGGGGTAACAGGAGACTTTATTTGTACAAGTACAAATAAAGCAAAAATTTATTTATGTACCTGTTATTTGTACAATAGTTGGCTGATTGCAGGATAAAACTATTTCCTCTGTTAAAATCAGTTTAAAACTTTTAGAAATAATGCCAGGGTTTTTTAATTCGTTGGTTTATAGATTTTTTTATGTGAAAGATACAGGATGGTCAGCTTACAAAACACAATTATATATAGAATTACTGTGTACTTCAGCTTTATAACAATATTTGTGTTATTTTAGTGCCAAACATTTGTTCTCAGCTAATAAACATACAATGCATGTCATCGTCGTATATAAGTTCGTTAAAAGGGGGTTACAGGGTTTGAAATTAGAAGGGGACCACTCACCAATGGCCCCTAAAATTTGATGTGGGCTACTTAAATTTCTGCTTTTCTTGTATAGGACTATGTATGTGGGCTACAAATTTAAGCTGTGGGCTACCATGCCAAAATTTTAACTTCAATCCCTGGGTTACATGTATATGCATTTACAAACATGACATAAATGGTCATTTCAAGATGAACAAAACATAGCTTTATGTTGTTACTTTTTATCAATTTTCACAAAAAACTGTGAATTATAAGCTTAATGCAGGAAAGCATGTGAAAAAAGAATTTTCTTTCTGTAAGTTGGAAAAAGATTAGTCGGCTAAACCAACAAATTATAATTATTTGCCTTTCTTCCTACCCTAAATTTTTTCAGCATGTTCAAAAGTAAGCTGTAGGAGATTATTAAGTATTCACAAACTTCCCCATAAGAAAAAATAAATAGGTTCATGTTTTGAATACTGGTAAAAGTCCAAATTTCAATCTGATCATAAGGTCTAAAACAGTCATATTTCATTCATTCAAGTTTATTCTGAAGGGGACTTTTGCAATAGCCATAACTTTCATATTTTTCAATGATGTAGTCACATATAAATAAAGGGACATCTGTAAACAAGTAAAATCAATGAAAAATTTCTAGTAATATAGTTATATTGTCGTCAGACAATATTTAATATACAATTCAAGTACGTATATATATATATACATGTACATTAGAACTACATATATTGATTTTGTACACTGTTTTACCCTTTAATAGTTTCTGGAAAAAGTCAGTCCTTTTATTATCGTCATGAATATTTTAAACTTAAGTAAATGTCAGATTGCGGAGAATTGATCTGTGCTATATATACATTCTAATTCATACTAAGAATGAATAATGTTTCAATTAAGACACCTAAATCATCCATTAGAAGGATATATGGAGGAAGGTAAAATCCTATGACATGGACACATTATCACATATCTTTGTGCCAAACAAATTATGCTCATCTAATTTGTATACCAGGTTCTGATTTAAGTACCCTTTATACCAAACTAAATCCTAATTTGTGTATTTGTAGAAAAAAAGTGTTTTAAATGAATTTGAAGTTTTTCTCAAGAATAAATCTTATTCTTACTGTCTAAGTGATAAACTTACCCTGATGGACAAAGGTCACTTGTCCAGCATTGACCAGAGCTTGTGTAAAGGATGCTATACCTCTGAAGGTGTTGTTTAGTAATGCCACATGACCATTTGTAGGCTGAGTTATTGTGTATCTGATGTTTTCAGGTGGTGAATCAGGATCTGACGACTTCAAGTTGTTGGTTGTAATTAATGTCATAGATCCCCGCCAAATTTCTAGTTTCTTATTGACAACAACTGATGGAGGCTTATCATTGACAGACTTTATAGCTACATGCATTACTGTCATTCGACTTTCCTTCTTTCTATTGTCAACAGCAGCTTTAAGAATAAAATTGTCTTTTGACATTTCACTATTGTCATGAACATAAAATATTTCTCCATTCTGAATAGATTCTGATGTGAATGATGCCAGTGGTGTTCCTAGATTTCTTATTGTTTCAATCTGTCCATTTCCTGGCTGACGTAAAACTTCATAGTCAACTAATTTACTGTTATAATACCGATTCTTTAATTTCAGATGTGATGGAGTAAGAGGGACTCTTCCCCCTTCTCTTACAGTTAAGTTTTTAGTATCAATTTCAAGAAATGAAGGAACAATTTCCATGACAAACTGTAAATTTCTCAAACTCTTAAAACCATTTGAAACATCAAAAGTGAAGAAATCATCCAGGGGACCAGACTGTGTATGACGGAATTTTAAATTGTTATTGTTTATATCTTCCTGCGTGAAATGATTCACAATGTTTTCTCTGTGTCCATTCAATAGCAAGCGGCCATGCTGAGGCTGGCTTTCAACTGTGTATTTAATTCCAGATGGCAGTGTATCAGGATGAGATACTTCTAAGTAATCTTTTGTAATTTCCACTTCTCGTAATTCCTGTACTTCTATAAGGTTATTGTTTATGATTCTCGGTGGATGGTTATGACTTTCTGTTATGATTCGGATTGGGAAGGTTCCTTGTATCTGAGCATTTTGTGCCATTACTATGAATTGAAATGCATCTTCAAATCCATTCCTACCATTATGTTTGTAACTGACTCTTTGACTTAAAACATCCTGATAGGTAAATTCAGCAACATCCCTATGGTTCTTTTCTACTTTTCCATAAAGAGGTTCCTCAATCAGAACAAATTTAAGTTCATGTGGTTGACAATCTATATTTGTTTCAACACTCAAGTTCAAAGAAGAGATAAAATTAAACTTTCCACTTTTAACAATAATTCCAGAGTTATTAACAATCTTAATGTAACGATTAGATGCTTGAATTTCAAACAAACATGTTGTGACAAACTGTCCATCTGAGACATGCATAACTGCTCGTCCAATCAAAACTGTTCCCTTGTTTCGGAAAGAAATATCACCATCAGCTATGTTCTCCTGTGTAAACCTATAAACAGCTGTTTTATTATCAGTGAATATGAAGTCACCATTTGATACACCACGATGAGAGTACACCAAATTCATAGCATTAAAGTCGATGTCTGGATCTCCAAATGCTAAATCATCTAATGTCAATACATGATCACTATTTACCACAACATGAAAGACTTTATCAACCAATCGTATAGGATAATGGTCATTTCTCATTGTTATTTGGATCTGGAATGTTCCATGAAACTCATGCTCTTTAACTGTTGGTTTGTTTGTGCTCTGAATTATTGGCACAGCAATAAAAGTAAAGGAGTCTGTAGCACTCTCAGAATCGTCATTCTGATAGATAATTTTAAAAGTTCGAATATCTTCATTAGTAAATTTAGAAATGTTTCGTTCAAGTATACCCATAGATCTGGGATGAACAGTTACCAGGATTCCATGTTTTGGAAAATCAATCACAGTATATTCAAATTCTCTATATTCACTTGTCTCAAGATACAAGACATCTTTCTCAATAGCTTTTTGTCCACCTTCAAAAACATTTGTCAATGGACTGTTAATGAATTTAATATCTGTTTGTTCTGGTAAGATTTGAAATCTCAATCTGAATAGTTTTGATTGAGCTTCAGGAACTTGTACTCTTAAGTCTATGAAGTCTGTGAGTGTGTCAAACACTTTCCTTCCAAGTTTGAACACAATCAGCCCATCATTTATATCTTTTTGGGTAAATATATCACCATTAGCTAGAATGTGTGAATCTGTGAACATATCTTCTGAATACTCATTGGTTGATACATGATACAAGTGACCCTGAGCTGGAGGTCTTGTTATCAGAAATTTGATATCGACTGGTGGCTGTTCATGGTTATTTGTCCCAGCTTCTAGTTTGTCGTGTGTCAAAAGAAAATATCCTTTTGAGCCATCAGCTTTGACAGAGTTTGGAGAATTAACTGTTATTGTGAGTGGAGTTATATCAACTGGAATAGTACTTTGAGCAAGTTTTTCTTTCAAGCATGTGACTATGAATGAGAATTGGTCCCTAGGTCCTCTGTATGATATGTTTGTATGTCTATAACGAATTTCACTATCATCAATATTTTGTTGATTAAAATGAGTAACTTTGATCCAACTTTGGTCAGACTGTAAAAGTTCTAAATTTCCCAAAAATGGTTGTGCTGTTATTTTATAGGTTACATTTAGCTTCTGTAATGGAACATTAGTTCTGGTATTAAGATTTGCATTAGTTAAAATTATATAACTACTAGCTGCCACCCTGATACGTGATCCAAACAACAAACCAATATGAAGCTCAATAGGTTGAAAGGTTAAAGTTACAGTATTAGTTCTATCCCCTTTATCATTGGCCATAACATCACATCTTGTTGTTCTCCTAGTTTTGTCAACAAACTGGATGATACCAGTTTGAACTTCTTCTTGCGTAAATGCATTAATTTTCAAACCTGGGCTGTTTTTTCGCTGAAAATAGTTTCTATTATTTTGTATATCACAAGATGTTGTGTAAACTATATCTTTAAGATCACTGTCTGGGTCAACAACTGATAAAATATCAGAATTAATGTCAAATGTTGAAAATTTAGCCATTTTTATAAAACCATTCCCTAAAGTTCTTATGATAGAGGGGTCATTGACCGGAGTTACAATAATCGGCAGAACAAATGCATATTTTTGAGAAAGTCGCTCAGGAATATCCTTATCCTCGTTTCCAATGATTAACATTTCAATGCTAACACTATCACTAAATTCTTCCTCGCCATTATGAGTATATGACACCTTTCCCCCAATCAAGTCCAGTAGTGTAAAAACATCGCTATTCCTTCTTCTCCCTAAATCAATTCTGAAGGAGCCAAATTTAGGCTTTTCAAGAACATAAAATTGAATGGCTGATTCTCTAATATTGTATTTTCTGTAATTAAACTGAATGTCAATGTTACTTGTTGTTATAATGGTTTCGTCTCCTTCCCTTGCCGATAATGGGGTTACAAATACAACAGAATCCCCCTGATCATTATTTGTATGTTTTCTTTCAGGTGCCTCTTCCTTAACTATTGAACAGTCACCTGACATACAGACACATTCATAGCCTTCGTCAGTTTCTTCACATCTGTAATCTGACTCACATGGATTTGAAATACAAGGGCTTTGAGACATACAACCTACACTTAGGCCATTACTAGATAAAATATCTGGAAAGCCAAATGCTTCTTTATTTATCACAATATGTCTTACACATCCTTGAAACGAGGTTGGAGACGTAAATAATTTGGAATTCTTGGCAATTACACTTGCTTCTTGTATTCCAACAACACCTCCTATAAACAGATCACTGGTCAGTCTAAAACTTCTACTGTCACCTGAATTATATCTTGATTGTTGCCTTTCCACATCTACTCCAAAAACAAATCTGTCATCATAGAAACCTGCTCCGATAAGGTGCCATTTGCCATCACTTATTGAAACTTCTGAACTTATACTTAATGTTGTGCCTCCACGATTAACATTCAATTTCAATTTCTTATTTATTATTTCGATAGCGATTAAGTGAGTATTTTCATCTGCATTTGCAGAATTCAACAATAAAAGTGCATTTTTCTGAAGAGTTTTAAATTCCAAAGTTATAGAACCTGTTGATCTAAAGTCCAAACAAGGAAAAGATGCATAAGATATGCTTGTAGAAAAGCTAATTTCATTTGACTTTTTTGCTCCAAATTCCTCCTCACAGTTCCATGAAATGTGATTTGTGCTCTCTCCTGGTAATTTAAGCGCCAAATTCAGAACATTGTACTGATTGTATAAAACGTTTTGCAAGCATCCTCTAAAATTTTGAAAACCATGTCCAGAAATATCTGATGGTGTCCCTCCTAAATAGATGCCATTTTGAATATTAAGCTTTGTTAGTGAACCTGTGCCGGCTGTTCTAATGATTTCATCATCATCTATTATTAGATTAAATGACAAGGCTTTTTGTTGAAATCTAACTCGATGCCAATTTCCATCATTCAGCTGGGTGTTTTTTACTGACGATAGTAAGATGACCCCAGAGCCAAGATCAAGTTCCACTTCCAATTTTCCACTTTTGATGACAACAGATAGGTAGTCTGTCGTTCCAGATGCCAAAAACAAAAGTCCATTAGGAAGAGAAGTTCTAAATCTTAGCTGGAGTTGAGTTGTGTCAGAGTCATCTTGGAAAGGAAGATTGATGTAGCTGTCACCATAAAAGGAGGCTGAAATGATAAATTCACACATATATAATTCACATTTCAAAAATATGTACAACATAAAGAAACAAACTAGAAATGAGCAGAACTCTCAAATATGTACTTCCTTACACCCCCATTCTTATAGATATAACAAAACATATTTGATTGTTGTGCTATAAGAAATTCCAAAAATCCACTGGATTAAAAAAGTTAGGAGGCAAACAATGCCTTTAGGTACCAAATATTCTGTGAAAGATTCATTGATATTAAGTAATTGGTTAGGAGAAAAAAAATGTTTTTAATAAACAAATGTAAGAAAGAGCTCTACATGAGAGTAGGAATGGAGGTACCGCATGACGAATGACAGTAAAATATTTGTTAAAATAACGATCACGATAAACATTTTACTCCATTTGACACTAATGGTAGCTACAAAATGAGATTTGACAAATGATGATAAAAAAATTTAGGCTCATTTGACGCTAACGGTAGCGAAAAACGGAAGTTTGACGCTTGACAAAAGGGCATTCCTACCCTGATTTACAAAGGAACTATATGCAAGTGTATATCTAAAATAAAGAAGTTGTTCCACCAATCTTTTCTTAATTTAAGGGCAAATAACATATCAAAAGTTAGCAGTAGATGATTAAAATGGTGTATAAAGTTTCTGCAAGTCATAAAAACAGATAATTAGTTTCATGATATGTTTTCAACTTAGAATTCTGCACCATCTCCAAATCCGGAGTGATCACATCGATCCAGCATGGCTGAATCAAAAATGATCTGACCCGTTACTAAGATAATATGTATGTATGGTTTTGGTTTGAAATGTAGTTAGTTACCCTGAATAAATTCTATATGGTTTTTTTCTTTTTAATTACACCTCAAAATTTTAGCTATGATCTGTAGAGTAAAGAAAAATACAAGGTACAAAATGTAAGTACAATGAAGTAAGATATTAAAAGATTCAACCCAAAATTTAATCCATTAATGGGTGTATCTTATTTACACCAAGATATTATTGTCAATGCAGAAAGATAGTTTTCAATAATTTAGGAGGGGGTCTTTCAGCAATTTGACCATATGTTATTGAAAACATGATAAATGTAGGGTATCCAATCTCATTTAACGACATCTTGGTGTAAATATGGATAAAACCATTACCATGGCAACAAAATTTGATTTTATTTTAGTAAATTTTAAAGAACTTACTAAGATGTATAACTGACCAAAATTTCAAAAGTCTTGTTGTTCTATTAAGATACAGTCAATATTTCATTAAAGTAGGCTTATTTTCAACATTTATTGAAATATCCTATGCGAAAAAAGTATGGAAAAAAAAGATTCTCCATGGAGGAAAGGGTTAACCACACAAATCAACTTTATAAAATGACAAATTACAAACAATATATGTTTATGCAAAATCTTTGGATCATACAGAAGGACTAACCAATCTTCCTATTGATTTGCATTCATTTAATACAGTATTGGTGCTAATAAGATTGTCAGGGGAATCTTCTGTATTACATTCAACAGTAGTGCTAATATTATGTACATAACATTGATTCTGGCAGGGCATCAAACTTTATACAGCAGAAAACCATTCACACATGATAATTTATACTTTTATCATTTCACAAACTATCTTTTTATCTAAGCACCTCTTCTTTGTTAAATGTTCTCAGCATGTAAGCCTACCACATAGATTTGCTGAGGGAAAATATGTAATTAATCAAGGTAGTACCAGGTGAAACAAAAACATATGTTAGTATAACCTCTCATACTTATAACTCTTAATGTCAAAACAGTCTCAGCTACTTATTACAACTTCTGTAACAGATGATTAGGAAAAAGTTAAATCAAATAACGTTATCAGTAGTTAGTATATAACAAATTTTCTTACACTGTATTAACCATTGAAAACCATAAAATTATGAGCTATGATATAAAAATGTACCTGCAGACCTATATTTTACTATTATTACATGTACATTCCTGAAGCATGTTACCAGATAAATGTCATACAATAACAGAACTTTGTTTAATAGATCTATCAATCTATAAAATTACTCAGTCTGCAGACATATACATGTATCACTAACAACAAAATGTCACAATAAATGTGAAATATCTGTGAATGTCACCCACTAATAGGTTCATCTTAAAATGATATATGTTCCTCTTATACTCAATGTCAATAACTAATAGGTTCATCTTAAACACAATGTCACCAACTAATAGGTTCATCAACTAATTAAGAAAATTAAAATGGAAAATATAATTATTTCAAATTTATTGTAGCATGGATAAACAGCAAGTCCAAGTCATATTTTTTGGAAAATCCTATATTCAGATGCTTTTACAATAGAATTCCAAATATTGTACCACTGTTCTTTCATAAGGAATTCTAGCTTGAATTTTCTATGAGCAACTCCTATCAAGAACATAGAATGCTAAAATATAAGCCAATGCAGCCTTAAGTAGGGGTTGAGTCTAATATAATAATTGAAACTAAAATGCAAGAATATGCTAGTTTAACAGTAATTTCAGTCACTAAAGCATGACAGAGATTGAAAAAAGGGGGGGGGGTATTTATCAAACATGCGAGTACAATTCTAAATGCATGGATGATAACCCAAAAGCCTACAATGCACTGATGGTCTTTCCTATACAAAAGGTACATCTTTAAAAATAAAAGAAAAAAGAAAAAAAACGCATACAATTGAAACATATTAAAGCTAATACTATTGTTTACCAAAATCCAACACTTTTCAAAACAAGAATGTGTCCATAGTACACAGATGCCCCACTCACACTATCATTTTCTATGTTCAGTGGACCGTGAAATTGGGGTCAAAACTCTAATTTGGCATTAAAATTAGAAAGATCATATCATAGGGAACATGTGTACTAAGTTTCAAGTTGATTGGACTTCAACTTCATCAAAAATTACCTTGACCAAAAACTTTAACCTGAAGCAGGCACTATCATTTTCTATGTTCAGTGGACCGTGAAATTGGGGTCAAAACTCTAATTTGGCATTAAAATTAGAAATATCATATCATAGGGACCATGTGTACTAAGTTTCAAGTTGATTGGACTCCCAACTTCATCAAAAACTACCTTGACCAAAAACTTTAACCTGAAGCGGGACAGACGGACGGACGCACAGACCGAAAAACATAATGCCCCTAGGTGGGGCATAAAAATACATTAAGAAATAACATTTGGACACAATGGTGTTGATGGTGCCATGACAGTAACTTCTTTGACTTGTTTTGAGACAAGTGTTGCATTCAAGACATAAAAGGAACACTATCTATACCATCAAATGACATGTATTTGAAGAATTACTGTTACTGCAAAAACATATATATCCAAAATTTTATTTCAACAGAAAATATTACGTATTAAAATATGTATCCATAAGGTGTAGATTCTATAAGGCCCAAAAATGGCCCCTATTTCTAGGTAAATTTTCAAATTAGTAATTATTGACCATTATCAAAACAAATCATTGAAAATAGGTCAGTTAGTTTTCGTAGTGGTAACATAATAGAGCAGTGTCGACAAAAATATCTTTTCATATTATGTTTGTTATAACAAGGTAACTATCTATCTGACTTGAATATTTAGTCAGTCGAACTTCCTAGGCCAAAATATGGTTGAAATTCAGACAATTTCGTCAACATTCATAAAAATCTCTATTTGTGACCTATTTGAAGTGTACATAACAATACAACCCTGACTCAGAAAAGCTCCTCAAAAAAATCTTCCTATTTCAATTTCTTACAAGTCTTTTTCATTATCTTGAAACGCTTTTCATATTGAACATGTTGAAACAATTTTCTGGGCAAAAAGGGCTCTTACAGTACTAACTCCTTTTATTTGTACAGAAAATATTAGGTAACTATACAATTTAGTGCCATATTCACCCAAAGGAATTATGCTGATTGATTTATATGCTTCCTATGCTCATTGATTTCTCTCCTATGCTAAGATTACTTGGATATCAGATGTTTCTTTCATAATATTTCTCATTTAATGATGTAATTCAATGTTCAACAGACAATATGAACAAAGAATGTTATATTGATTTTACAAGTATCATTATGAGTGATCAGTTTTACTTAAGAAACAAAACAGCAACTAAAATTATGAAATTTATCATTCTGAACAATCCTTGTCACTGCAAAGCAGATGAAGGGGGGTCAAATTACAGGTAATAGTTTTTGTTTAGAAAAAGTTATAATTGTGGTCTTGTATTGGTACAACCCTAAAAATGGAAAACAAGAAACCTACATACGTGGTAAATTAAGCCACACAAGGAACATTCAAATTTGTATCAATGAGACAGCAACCCAATGACATAAATAAACAAAAGACATCTAGAGGCCAATAAATGGGTGTATGTACAATATATCACATTCTATAGCTAAATCGCCTTCAAGAAGGAAAAAGTTGTGAATAGATTTGACAGGGACTATCAAAGATCAACCCTTAACACTAAAATTCTCTGAAATGAATAAACATTGAGTCTATTCAAAAACATATATTATTTGAAATATTAATTTTATTAAGAATTTATTGTTGTTGAAAGAATTAAATTCTATTAACTGTAGATATTTTTATGTTTAGTGACAGGGTTATGTTTTGCTGAGAGATCTTATGTCCATATAATAATTGCAACAACCGCGACACAGGGCTGTTGGGTGAAAAATTTTGATGTAAACGGATTTCATGATTTCTGGCATGGTAATTATTTAGCAGGAAGTTCATAATAAATAATCATATTTAAGTGAAGAAAGTAGAAAGTTTAATGATAAGTTTATGTAATATGTTATCAAAATATAGTGTCAGAATTGAGCAACCATAAAAACTACATGATTCCAGCATGACATAGAAAGGCAGAAGCTATCAAAATGACAGCAACTAGGCTTAAATACAAAACAAGGGTGAAACGGCGGGGGCATAATAAAAGATATTTTATGTTTTATAACTTTTAAGAGTTTGATGCAAGAATG